TCAAGTCTTCCGTCCATCCTGTTTGCTAAGCATCTGTTTTAAGTCTGTATTGAGTTTGGTTTCTCTAACACTGACCCCATCACAGGTCAAATGTTTTCTAAGTGGGCAGACATCTGTCTGTCTGTGTGTGTGTGTGGGTGTGTGCGTGTACGTGTGCGTGAGAGAAACCAGTCAGGGAATGTTTTGTGTGTGTCAGGTGTTTGGTTATCAAATCAAACTTTCACTTTGAAGATTTTTTTTTCTTTAACATTTGGCTGCTTTCAAAAACTCGGCTGATTGCCCAACCCAAACCTCCCATATCACGGTTTGATATTCTTGAATTCAACCGTTAGTTCCTAAAGGGCTGTGTTTACTTTAGTTACAGAAATATTTGGGGATTTTCTCACTTCCCCACAGGAAAGATCTGTGCTGAGTATTTGCATATGATTAAGTAACAGAAAAGCTAACATTAAAACTAGTTTTTTTGGACAACCTGTACTTTTTAGCAGACTTTTGAAATTGTTTTTACCATTACTCATACACTTATAAAAGTATAAATGGTACTCGTTATAATTTTGTTACGGAGCGTGTAGGACAGGGATGGGCAGCTCCGGTCATGAAGGGTTGTAGTGTGTGCAGGTTTTTGTTTCAGCCCAGCTCTGACATACCCGATTCCACTAATGGTGGCCTTAATTGGCTATTCGAATCATGTGTTTTTAAAGCTGGGCTGGGACAAATGCCTGCACTCACTGTGGCCCCTTCTCCAAAATAAAAAGCAATTTAACAGCATTGCAGAAAACTCACCATGAATGGGCCATGAGATTTTCTCAATCATGTGATCTTACCAGGGAAAAAAGCCCAGAGTTTTTCCAAGTCAGGTCACAGAGTCAGGAAAAAGTCCTGACCTGAGAATACAGTCAAGAGAATAAATTAGAGGAGAAAGAAACAGTTATGGGAGACAGCTTGTATCATGATGGTTTTTATTGATTCACAGTAATGAATGTAGTGATATTTGTGCTGTAACTCAGCTATGCAGCCAAGCCAGCCAGCCAGCCAGTACTTAACCACAGCTATCCCAACTATTCCAATGGCAAAATGTCACAAAGTCCAATTCTGGTTTTCCATACACCAATTATGCATATCAACATCATGGAATTCTCAATATAAATCACTTTAGTAAAGGGGTTAACATGAAACAAATCTTAATGTGAAACCATTTGACATAAGAATTGATAATTTATTTCATGAAAGAATACTTTGGTCACACATGAAACAAAGATTTGGTTTTGGGAGTTATTTGAGTCTCTGAGAGCACAAGATTTCTATATGAATATTAAATAAGCACGATAGCTCACACCCTCAGCTTACACTGCATACTGTTTCAAACATTATTGCATATGACAACTGGTTGGCAAACTGGCCATGTAGCATTATAGATATCCCAACACTAGATAACCCAACAGCATGGATATGTGTAAGTACAGTACAAGATATGATGTAGATGTAGTGAATGTGATGAATACGAATCAAAAACAGAGTTATTATTAAAGTTATGGAACACAATACAAAAATTAAATAACAAGACATAGAATAGACTATGTTATTATGTCAATAGCAACTGTACACAAACACAATACAATTAAAAAACAAATATTAGCCAATAACATGTTTTTTGTCATTATTAAATACCACTGTATAGGTGCCTCTAAGCTCTATTTAGTATGATTTCATCTACAGCTTTTTATTGATTAAAGAGTTTAAGTATGTGTGTGTGTGTGTGTGTGTGTGTGTGTGTGTGTAAGGAAGGTGTGGGTTAATTTAACACTGTTTCATAATAACATGGAGGTGTTTTGTAATATAAAAGTTGATGAAGACAAGACGGCAATAACTAAAGCCCATGAAATGTGAATTGAGTGGGCAGGGAAACCAAAGGGATCTGCTAAAGATATTTATAATAAATTCTTAAAAGTCTAAGCCGTTGGGGGGTGGTTATAAGCTGACATATGGAACTGTTTTAAGAAGGTCATACCATGGATCATTTAGCTATTTGATTTGGAATTTTAGGACCCATTTAGGTATAATAAATATTGGCCTTTACTAATATAGCCCATAGAAACGCATAGAATAACACATTCAAAAATGGCAAAAAAGACAGTCAAAAAATAAATCTCAGGAAACATTTTTGTTTATTTGACACATATTTAACCCCTTTTTTTTGTTGGTACAAAACAACCCCCGTACTTCCATTAATTTGTATGGGTTACCTTTAGATAAGTCCCATGACACTTGTGGGGGTCGTAGAGCAAAACGGAGAACACCATCGTGTTTGTGAGTCTCCCCTTTCTATCGAGTTTTTTAGGCCAAACCGTTTGGATGCTACAGAGGTTTTCATGAGAAGACCGATTTTCGGGATGTCTCCTGGTCTGACAAACAGCACTGTAGCTCTGTCACTTTCCACCGCAGATGCGGAAAGCGCAACATAGGCGGATGCGGTGGATTGAGACACAGTCCATGCAAAAAAAAACAGATATCTCTAGCTTAAACTGACAAATTTGGATGGATTTTTGATAGATTGCATCGGTGCGTCAGTAGACTCTAGGGTGTTTTAAGGAACTCTAGTGTTTACAGCCAACCACACCACATTATAATGTCCTGGAAGCTGTCCATTACAACAAACATCTAGATTGCTTCTACACTTGAGGACGGTAAGTCAATAAAAAACATCAAAGGCCATAATGGTGTAGAAGTAAACATTGAACGAACTGGGGGGGGGGGGGGACAATATGTCAGTATTTTAAGAGTAAAGGGGAAGGTCTGTATACTAGCTTTGCGCCAGATTTGTTTCCATTTTCTCCAACTCATGCAAAAGACAAAAGATAAGGATAAAACACAAACAGATCCATCTACCAGTCAGCTATGACATACATGCCACAAACATGGATGACTCAAAATTGAGTTATAATATTGTACAGAAAATTGAATATTCCACCGATACTAATTCAACTGGGACATGGATAGATACAGTATATTTGAAACACTACAGGGCTGAAGCAAGGTTCAACTTCTAATCTGCTTTTAGCATCTGCTTTTAGCAGATCCCAACAGCAGCAACAGCTGTTGACTGTTTGAATCCAGCAGTTTATTTTGCTCTCAGACAAACATGTTGTTCTCTTTAGGAGCTCAGTATGCCAGCCATGCGGTCTCTGCAGTAGTGGCCATGGTGGATTTGCACTGGTGGTAAAATCTGTTGTGTTGCCCATATCAAGGCTCCTCCTCTTTCCCTTTCTTTCTCTCTCTTTTGCTCTCTCTCTGCCAGTGGGGCTGCTGAGGGGAGAACAGCTCATAATAATGGACGGAACGGAGCAAATGGAATGGCATCAAACACCTGGAAACCATGTGTTTGATGTATTTTATACCATTCCACTGATTCCGCTCCAGTCATTACCACGAGCCCGTTCTCCCCAATTAAGCTGACACCAACTTCCTGTGCTCTCTGCCCATTCAAAGGCAGTGTTCTCTCTCGATCTGTCTGTCTCTCTTTCTCTCTCATCCTCTCTGTCAAACTTTCTCTCTTATCTCTCTCCTCCCTTCCCTCTCTCTTTCTCTCCCTATCTTGTCTGTCTATCCTACCCAGGCCTATAGCTGGTGACAGCAGAGTTCACAGTTGCTTACCCTAACTCTAACCCAAACATAGCTAATTAAAGGCTTTTTATACACTGCCTGCCTGGCTGCCACAGAACTGTGGGTTTACCACCGAACCTGCTTTCACTCACACTGGAAAGGCCATTTGTGGATGGCACAAAGCTATCTCTCAGTTGGCCATTTGGAATACGAAATGTTAAGATGACACAACCCTTTTAAGTTACACTCTAAGAAAATATTTTCTACATGGAACCAAAAAGGGTTATTTCTGGAACCAAAAAGAGTTCTATCTAGAAACAAAAAGAGTTCTCCGAGCTATAGGGACAGCCAAAGAACCCTTGGTTCTAGGTAGACCCTTTTTTCTAGTGTATAACATAGCTAGTGACTTATTGGGTGAAAATGTGTTTGTTTTATATGTTTAATCAATATAAAAAGTATGCAAGCCTTAAATAAATTAACCTGCAGCATTACATATTATGAAAAAATGTGCGCCAAAAGCATTGAAATTCAGTTAATACAGGAAAGAATACAGTAAACTGCATCAAGTTACATTTTCTAGGCAGGTATCAAAAGATAAAATCACAAAAGCCAATTTAAAAGGACCTCATGTAATAGTAATTTAAAAACAAAAGAGAGAAATGTTAACTAACTCAACTGTATTTAGGTTTGTGTATCAGTTCTACTGTAGTTACAGTATATATATATATAAAAAAAAGAAAAAAGATTAACACATCAGAATGACTACCTGCACAATAATAAAAAAGCTAATTAAATTGTAAAAACTAAGATAAACGTTCATACACAACTACCCGGGCCTTGAGGTCCACTGTAGAGCTGCGGACCTCAAAGTCTACAGGAAGGTTGTGATTTGGTTAAACATTACCGATATTGTGATAATGTAGATGTAGGAGACATTTGTCCAGACAGACCAACAGTCAAACAGATAACGCAGAACTCTTTTCAGACATTCTTTCCCCTTTCCTGGGACCCGGGCATATGGGACCAAGCGTATGTTAGTCATTTTAAATCATGGACAGACAATAATAATTTAATCAGAATCAGAATTCATTCATACAAACTTTGAGTAGCTAAATTACTATTAATCCACATTCATAAATTAACAAAATACCTAACAGTTGATTGAATCCATATAATTTGAATTATCCATTGTTTACTGCACTAATTTGGTTGCCTTGGTGACACCTGTCCTGCTCTCAGTTGCTATTGACTGTTGGGGTTGAAGGGTGTGGTAAGGGTGATGGTCTTCTCCTGATTGTGGTGTACTTTGGGTAGTGTAGTCAACAGCAAGTCAGGGAGGTGGACAGGTGCCATTTCGTGAGTCCTCTAGTGTTGTGGGGCAGGAGTCCCTGGACCCACCAGACCCCAGGCCACCCTGAGTAGTCTATGGTCCCAGCTCTGAGCCCTCTTCGCTGGGCACCAGACTGGGCCAATGCTGGGCCCTGGATGGGCCTAGACAAAGTTATTGGAGATCTGCCGTTGGTGCTCGAACAGGTCCTCAATCTCTGCACTGTACGCATCACCTGGTAGAAGAAACAACATACAGTTAGAGAGAGGGAGCAAGAAAGAGAGATGAAGAGCAAGAAGAGGGGAGAGAGTGAGAAAGAGCAAGAGAGAGAACGCGCGCGAGAGAGAGAGAAAGACAGGGATAGAATACAAGAATGTGAATGTGTGTGTTAACGAGAGCGACATGTAACTTCCCATACCTGCGTGACATCCATACATGTATGCTCTGTGTCCGTCGTATTTGCATCGACATCTCATCACGTTGTTCTGGAAGTCCGACTCAGCCATGTCTAACGAAGGGTTAACTTCCACCTGCAATATGACAGAGACAGAGAAGAAAGCTATTAGTATAGTCAACACCCATATATGCAATGTCAAAGGACTGTGTGCACTAAACCAGAGCAGGTAGATGTCCAGAACAAGAAACACATATTTGAAATAGGACTGATTAACTTTACTGTACTCAAACAGAGATTGTACTTGTTCTTTGTGCACTTATCAGTAGTTGACTGTACTTGAGCCCTGCAATTGGCCAGAGCCAGAGAGTAATGACAAAGTTATTACAATGTAAGATAATGATGGCTGTCTGTGACCTCCTGACTTGCAGCCACTCACTCAATCCTCACCACACTGCTTTATTAGAAAACAGAGGGAGGGAGTTTATAATTTTGCCATAGGGTTGACTTCAGCTTTCCTATTTAACAGAATTTTCACTGATCTATGCGTGCTTTCACCAATGATTGATCAAAATGTATTACTGATTGCCCTTAATTGAGTGCATGTATTTGCTGTGACTTGGAGATCTGCTGTGCTTAATTGTATTAACTTTTTTTAACCACCCTCCTCCTGCAGAGCTCTGGTTGGAGCTAGCTCCTAGTGGCGTCCGTCCTAACATAGTTTGCCCTGCGTTCAGGGTTGTCGCTTATCATTTGTTTTTTTAAGTTCTTGATCCAAGCACCCCATATGCTCGCAGTGATGGTGTCTTCGCCAGGTAGATTTGTTATGATGATGAAATTATGTACTACAACATTTATTTGCACTTAAAGTGACAGTAGCGCGATTGTAGTCCTAGGTATTCTAATTGTTTTAAGTAGTGTGCAAGCCACCATCCAGGTATGTATTGATTGCTATTTATATAGGTAAACAGAAATAAACTGCCAGTCTGTTTGTAATCTTGTAACTGAAGAATATTGTAATATATTTTTATTTTTTATTATCAAGTGTTGCCTGGCCCATTGCATTGCTCATGACCCAGCTCAATAGGTGGCCTGTCACAAACCTGTGTGTCTTCATAAGGTTGAGGTGTCCCCCTCTCATTTAACAGAAACTGCCATTTAAGGTAACCCTAGTTGGCAGGTAATAATAGCCTGTGTCCCAAATAGCACCTTATTCCCTGGTAGTGCAGTACGTTTGACCAGGGCCCATAGGGCTCTGGTCAAAAGTAGTGCACTATATTGCGACTATGGTATCATTTGGGACACACCCATAGAGTAATAATATGTGCAGAGTGCGCTAGCATCCCCAGACTGAAAGAGACATCTGAAATAAAGATCAGTTGGATGTAAAATTGTTAGATGGTCTCTGTCATTAAAAGTCAGTCATGGTTGGTATTGTTTTTATAGTCAGTCTTATTCACATCCATAAAAAGGTGGGATGGCTTCTCCATGTTTCAATAGGAGAGATAAATACAGTACTTTTCTCTCCATATAGAGGGATGGATGGATGGGATCCCCATTTGCTCTTTAAGTAACAATCAATTTATAGAGTTGTAAAGATGTATAATGTTAAGACACTATAATAATAAAACTCTTGTTTGTCCCATTCTGAGAAACATAAAATAAATGCTGGAAGGCATTAATTCAATAGCAGCCTGAAGAAAACTCATCAATAGTTTTGACTACTGTATGGAAGGTTGTAAGTTTAGCATAAATGTTGAGTAACAAATATATTTTCACCCATACAGTGTACATCCTGAGAGTTATGTAATTGTATGGTTCGTCACAGGACTAAAGTATGGCCATTCCATATGCCCAACGGAGTCTCACCATTTGAGTTATAACTGAAGAATCTTTCAGAGAAAGCCTCAACGTGCTTGCTCCACTTCCACGTTTCTGTCCTGTTCATTGTAATGTCATTCTGTTTCATGTTGAAATCAAAATCAATCACAATAAAAGCTTCAACCTCCACATGGCCTATGCAGTCTACCACATCAGCTGGAATTGCTCTTAACTTAAAGAACACCTTTAAGTTAAGTTGAGGACTTAAGCTGAATTAAAGGAGTAATTTAGTTGGAGGTTAAAAAGGTACAGTAGTTACAGAGTGCATAACCGTGACTGTATACGTTTCTGTAATAGGTGCTATTCTGCGCTTTACCATGTTCTAATAGGCTGTTATTCGCCAGTCTAAAAGTCTACTTTCACAGCTGCTGACATAGCCATTCTCTTCAGTAAGCGCACACACACGCCCATGCGCACACACATGCGTTCGAATGCAGGCAAACACAGGCAGGCAGGCAAACACACACACACACACTGTGATAATACTGAGGGCCCATTTTCCCTTATAGCCGCTCTGTAAACCTACTACACCCACTTTAAATACAGGCTGCATCCAGTTACACAGGAAAGCAACTCTAAACTACAAATAAATATATATATCTAATTTGTGAATACATAAAAACTAGCCATGATGGCGACTCTGTTGAAATTAGTGTTGGACTTTGTCATCTGTAGCCGGTTGGCTTGGGCCATCGCAATGTGTAACAGAGTGAGAAAAGGCTTGTAAGAACAGCAAAGGAATTTTATGGGGGATATTTTACGGTTTCTAATGGTGGGGGTTTCTAATGTAACTGTTTCTAACTCTGCGTGGTTCAAGGAAAGAGCTTCTAGATCTTTATTAAACGTCCATCTCTCTGAAATGTAGAAATGTAGGTAGCAGTATCGCTGGATGCAGAGAAAGCGTTTGATAGAATAGAGTGGTCTTACCTGTTCTATGCACTCTCTAGATTCGGTTACAGCCAAATCCCAGCAGTTTGATACCTGGTGTTTGGCCAATGTTCTGGATATAAGGTGAATTGGAGTAAGTGTAAGGGTATTCCTCTAAACCACCACACATGTCCAGCCCACCTGGGTACTGGTCCCTTCCTTTGGAAACCACAAGGCATGAAATACCTTGGGATAAATATCAAGTCACCAGTTAATAAAATATTTGATCTAAAATGGACCAAATCGTGAATGTATGTATCCCACTGTGTCCCTTAGTGTGCCTACTAGGGAGTATGGTGGGTAATAGCCAACCTAGAACCACGCAACGCATCATTGCTCTGGCCCACCTATCAGTCAAACAGACAATACTTATGAATTGGAAAGTGTGTCAACCTCAGTGTTTCAGCATGGACACTTGGTTAAAGGACTTCTTGACTATGGAACGAGCTTTGGCAGGGCTGGCTGGGTGCCTTGTGCGTCCTGATAGGACCCAGGTCACCCCTCCCCCTCTCTAGTTGATTGTCATGTCACTGTATTGGGGTTGTCTTTTTATTTATGTGCATTCAATCTACCTGCTGTGAAGCCGCTCAACATCCTGGACTTCCTGACGGGCCGCCCCCAGGTGGTAAGGGTAGATAACAACACATCTGCCACGCTGATCCTCAACACGGGGGCCCCTCAGGGGTGCGTGCTCAGTCCCCTCCTGTACTCCCTGTTCACCCATGACTGCATGGCCAGGCACGACTCCAACACCATCATTAAGCTTGCTGACGACACAACAGTGGTAGGCCTGATCACTGACAATGATGAGACAGCCTATAGAGAGGAGGTCCGAGACCTGGCCGTGTGGCAAAGGAGATGATTGTGGACTACAGGAAAAAAAGAGGACTGAGCACGCCCCCATTCTCATCGACGGGGCTGTAGTGGAACAGGTTGAGAGCTTCAAGTTCCTTGGTGTCCACATCACCAACGAACTATCATGGTCCAAACAGACCAAGACAGTCGTGAAGAGGGCACGACAAAGCCTATTCCCCCTCAGGAGACTGAAAAGATTTGGCATGGGTCCTCAGATCCTCAAAAAGTTCTACAGCTGCACCATCGAGAGCATCCTGACTGGTTGCATCACCGCCTGGTATGGCAACTGCTCGGCCTCCGACCGCAAGGCACTACAGAGGGTAGTGCGTACGGCCCAGTACATCACTGGGGCCTAGCTTCCTGCCATCCAGGACCTCTATACCAGGCGGCGTCAGAGGAAGGCCCTCAAAATTGTCAAAGACACCCTAGTCATAGACTGTTCTCTCTGCTACTGCACGGCAAGCGGTACCGGAGCGCCAAGTCTAGGTCCAAAAGGCTTCTCAACAGCTTCTACCCCCAAGCCATAAGACTCCTGAACAGCTAATCATTGCTACCCGGACTATTTGCACTGCCCCCCCACCCCCACCCCCCTTAAAATAATTTGCATTTTAATGAGGGAAATAAGTATTTGACCCCCTCTCAATCAGAAAGATTTCTGGCTCCCAGGTGTCTTTTATACAGGTAACGAGCTGAGATTAGGAGCACACTCTTAAAGGGAGTGCTCCTAATCTCAGTTTGTTAACTGTATAAAAGACACCTGTCCACAGAAGCAATCAATCAATCAGATTCCAAACTCTCCACCATGGCCAAGACCAAAGAGCTCTCCAAGGATGTCAGGGACAAGATTGTAGACCTACACAAGGCTGGAATGGGCTACAAGACCATCGCCAAGCAGCCTGGTGAGAAGGTGACAACAGTTGGTGTGATTATTCGCAAATGGAAGAAACACAAAAGACTGTAAATCTCCCTCGGCCTGGGGCTCCATGCAAGATCTCACATCGTGGAGTTGCAATGATCATGAGAACGGTGAGGAATCAGCCCAGAACTGCATTCAAAAGTGACCAAAACATCAGCCAGGAAGCATAGGAACTGAGAAGTGGTCTGTGGTCACCACCTGCAAAACCAGTCCTTTATTGGGGGTGTCTTGCTAATTGCCTATAATTTTAATCTGTTGTCTATTCCATTTGCACAACAGCATGGACAATTTATTGTCAATCAGTGTTGCTTCCTAAGTGGACAGTTTGATTTCACAGAAGTGTGATTGACTTAGAGTTACATTGTGTTGTTTAAGTGTTCCCTTTATTTTTTTGAGCAGTGTAAAATCCAAACCAATTTATAACATATAACACACGTGGGAGCCAGAAATCTTTCTGAATGAGAGGGGGTCAAATACTTATTTCCCTCATTAAAATGCAATTCAACATTTTTGACATGCGTTTTTCTGTATTTTTTTGTTGTTATTCTGCCTCTCACTGTTCAAATAAACCTACCATTAAAATTATAGACTGATCATTTCTTTGTCAGTGGGCAAACGTACAAAATCAGCAGGGGATCAAATAGTTTTTTTCCCCTCACTGTGTGTATATATATATATATATATATATATATATATATATATAGATATATATATATATATATATATATATATATATATATATATATATATATATATATATATATATATATATATATATATATATATATATATATATATATACACAAACACACAAAGTGCCTCAGATTAGGAGTGCTGATCTAGGATCAGGCCCCCCCGGTCTTATTTAACTGATCCTAGATCATCACTCCTACATTTGTCTTCATTTAGCAGACGCTCTTATCGAGTGCATACATTTTCATAAATGTTTTCGTACTCCGAGACACAAGCCCTGGAGTTTGAATAACTGTAGATTGTACAACAGGGTCTGTCTTTCCTTTGTCAAAACTATAACTTCTAATCTAGTTACAGTTGAAGTCGGAAGTTTACAGACACTTAGGTTGGAGTCATTAAAACTCGTTTTTCAACCACTCCACAAATTTCTTTTTAACAAACTATAGTTTTGGCAAGTAGGTTAGGACATCTACTTTGTGCATGACACAAGTCATTCTTCCAACAATTGTTTACATACAGATTATTTCACTTATAATTCACACAATTCCAGTGGGTCAGAAGTTTACATACACTGAGTTGACTGTGCATTTAAACAGCTTGGAAAATTCCAGAAAATGATGTCATGGATTTAGAAGCTTCTGATAGGCTAATTCATCATTTGAGTCAATTGGAGGTGTACCTGTGGATGTATTTCAAGGCCTACCTTCAAACTCAGTGCCTCTTTGCTTGACATCATCGGAAAATCAAAAGAAAGCCAAGACCAGAGAAGAAAAATGGTAGACCTCCACAAGTCTGGTTCATCATTGGGAGCAATTTCCAAATGCCTGAAGGTACCACGCTCATCTGTACAAACAATAGTACGCAAGTATAAACACCATGTGACCATGCAGCGGTCTCTTCTTCTCATCCTCTTCTTTTCATCCTCTCAGCCTCTTCTTCTTCTCAGCCTCTTCTTCTTCTCAGCCTCTTCTTCTTCTCAGCCTCTTCTTCTTCTCAGCCTCTTCTTCTTCTCAGCCTCTTCTTCTTCTCAGCCTCTTCTTCTTCTCAGCCTCTTCTTCTTCTCAGCCTCTTCTTCTTCTCAGCCTCTTCTTCTTCTCATCCCCTCTTCTTCTCATCCCCTCTTCTTCTCATCCCGCTCTTCTTCTCATCCTGCTCTTCTTCTCATCCTGCTCTTCTTCTCCATCCTGCTCTTCTTCTCCATCCTCTTCTTCTCCATCCTCTTCTTGTCCATCCTCTTCTTGTCCATCCTCTTCTTGTCCATCCTCTTCTTCTCCATCCTCTTCTTCTCCATCCTCTTCTTCTCATCCTCTTCTTCTCATCCTCTCTTCTTCTCATCCTCTCTTCTTCTCTACCTCTCTTCTTCTCATCCTCTCTTCTTCTCATCCTCTCTTCTTCTCATCCTTTTCTCCTCATAGCTGTGGCAGGGCCACCACATGTAATTAAGCCCTGCTCTACATGCCTAAAATACATACGTCCGTGTGTGTGTGTCCGTGAGCATGTGTGTGTGTACGTCTATCACAGAAACATGCAGGGTGATTAAATAAAACTGGCTGTGACACTTAGGGAGTGTGTGATTAAACAGGGATCCGTCTTCACTGTAACCTCTCAACCGACTCCCATGGCTTAGGTAGCACAGTCTTTAAGGGAACTAATTTTACCACAACCTCCCTCTCATTAGCAGGGTGTAATTAGGTAGTACCAGTAATTACGGGGATGCTAGTTTCTCCGTAACCCCTCTCTCATTAGCTAACAGATATCAGTGAGTTTTACTGGGGGAGCTAGTCTCACCATAACTCTCATTAACAGATAGCGTGTTTCACTGTAGCAAGTTTTACTGTTACCCATGGCTTTCCCATGGCTGAGATATAAAAAGAATCAAGAGCCTAATTGGCCCCTGGGACGGCATACTGGGATTAGTAGTCTGAGAAAGAAGTGGTGGCTGATGGGAGTTGGAGTCTTTGATGTGTCCTGAGGTGAACATGAGACAGGGTCATGACATAAATGGAGTGTGTGTGTGTGTGTGTGTGTGGGCGGGGTTAATACAGCATAGCTGTCTCTCATGGTATCACATATCACAGAGGGGGATCTGCAGACCTCAGTCAAATACTTCAACATACTTTTAAAAAAATTGCAAAGGAACAAAGGAACCAATGGGATAGTATCAAAAGTGCAAACTCCAAGCTTAATCAAGCGCACCTGTGTGTGTTTCTGTGTGTGCGTGCCTGTACCTGGAAGATGTAGTCTCCAGGCTTGACATCAGTGATGTCAATCCACTGACAGTCGATGTCGTGGCGATACGTATCCCAGCAACCCACTGAGATGCCCTGGTCGCCCATGTTGTAGCAGGAGAAACGCTTATGCAAACCTGACATACAGACAACAACAGTGACTTTACTCTTCGACTTGAGGTTTTTGGGGCCAGTTTCAGCGACTCAAATAAATCAAATAAAAACAGATTAACCATGGTCCAGGAATATTTGAGGTCATGGACAGCATATGAAGCCAAGTTGTTTAAAATAAATGGTTGTTATAAATGTTAATAGCATGTGACATTGCCATGTCATCCATGTTAATAACAGGTGTTATTACCTTCAGGGCAGTATGTATCCTCCAGACAGAAGCTGGCCTTGTGTCCCTCAGCTATCCTGGTTCCATTCAGAGTCAACAGGTCATAGTGGGTGAACACCTCAATGCTGTGGTAGTGCCTGGTAACACAGAATAATAGTGTGTGTGTGTGTGTGTTTCAGAATGACAACAGTAGGTCCCCATGTATGGTAGCCTAGTGACCTCACCACTAAAACATGGGGCAGGGTGTCAGGGTGACACCTCTCATAGAAGCTTGTTTTAGAACTTTCACCGCTCACACACAGAGCTGTTTACACACTCACAGTGAATGGGGGGCATTGAAACTCACCCACACACACATTCATGCAGTCACGTGCACACACACACACACAAACGTATGCATGCAAGCACACACATGCATGAACTAAGACACACAAACACACCACTCCTGTGTTATTGGAACAGATTAAGAAAGGTGGGTCGGCCCTGTATAACACCCTGACTGTGTAACACAGAGTGGCTCAGTCATATCTCCATTTATCTCAATGTACTCATTAAGACACACACATTTAGTGGACAGCTAATGAATCTGTGTAGGTGACAACATGCCGCCATGCCACCCGTGACCTACTGGAACAGAACACACACACAGAACTCTACAGAGAACACACTGAGTAGGGTTAAATTATTCCTTCTTCTCTGATGACCACAGTCAGAACACACTCTCGTCATCTGACAAGAAATTGCCTTAATTAGGGGCAAAAGTTTGTCACTGAATAGAAGTCCAGGATAGAGGAATGTGTCACGTGTATAGGTGGGGAAAATATGTAATTTAAATCAAAGTAACTCACCAACGACCATCTGCCACTAAGGCCAACCAACAAATACTGGTTTCTATGTGACCCTATGAGCAAGTTTTTGTACAAACGCCATCTACTAACTTATGTTGAGGTCACAATAGGTTGAATATTTTGTTAGTGTCAGCAGTATGAAAAGTGATACTATGAAAGTGACGGGTCATTCGCTTGCAATGTACTGATTAATGACACCCACTAAGAGACAAGTATAACAGAACAGCTAAATTAACGGTTGTTTTTCGAAATGGGCATTTTCCATAAGTGTATTTATAACATTATCCAAGCAAAGCTTTATGTGGACCATACGTTTCCGTGAGTACGTTTCCGTACAAACAGTAGTTATTGTACTTAATGACAATGAGGTCATACCTTCACATGTTTTCTAACCTGCCACTAACTCAATTCAGTTCAAATCAATAAGACCTTATTCATCTCACACAGTCCTCTAACCTGTCCCTAACTCAATTAAATTCAGTTCAAGTCAATAAGACCTTATTCATCCCACACAGACCAATTTTGTCCCACAAGGTCCAATTATCCCATTACAGTTGTACAATGGAAGTCTGTGGTTATGGTTTCCATAATAATGTAACTCACAACCATTTACCTGAAGCATGGTCATCCAAAGCCACAACTTCCACTACTAACCGCGCATAATGACCGACAAACACAGCTAACCACAACAAGCTGGCTGTGTCGATCTAGGACTAGGACTCCCACAGACTCCCTTGGACTGTAACTAAGGGGGTTTTCCCTGGTTCGGTTTCCTGGAGCGTTTGTGAGAATTCTACAAATTACCGTATTTTCCGCACTATAAGGCGCACCGGAGTATAAGCCGCAGCAGCTAAATTGAATGATATTGAATGATGTGTACATATATAAGCCGCACTGGACTATAAGCCGCAGGTGTTTTAATGTTTAATTACCATATGTAAGGGTTCGTGCACAGAGGGGATTGTCGGGAAAGAGACAAACTGTCTCGCTCTCGTAATGTCTGTCTGTCTTGCTTTCGTTCTGTCTCTCGTTCTGTCTCTCGTACCACTCTCGGTTCCACTTTTACTTTTGCGCGCTACCTGTCTCACTCTTTTCCGGCCTCCAGCTTTTCCTGTTGGAGCCCGCCGCTTAAAGGTGGGGGGCGCGGACCGGTCATAAGCCCATAGAGTTAAAGTTGGTGGACTGTAACCTGTAAAATCCATAGATTTAGGAGGTCTTCTAGTGGCCGTTAGCTGTAAAAATCCATAGATTAGCCGCACCGTTATATAAGCCGCAGGGTCGAAAAATGGGAAAAAAGGCGCGGCTTATAGTCCGAAAATTACGGTATGTTTTGCTTTCACAAAACCTGAAAATAACTGTTTCTGGATGTGATTTGCGATACGCACATTCTACATGACGTTGGCAAGCCAGCTTGTTTACAACGGGCAAAAAGTTCCACACGACTCGCGCTACCTGGTACTCTGGTCCTGGATCTTGGGCCCGTTACTCACGCAGGTACAGGATTCATTTAAGCCAGGGTTTGTTTGTGTTTCACACATGCTTTATAGCACGGATCAGGGTACTTAACGCTCCAGAATCCAGATCATAAAGGGGATATGTGAAATCGCCTTAACTCCTACATATTATATAGGGCTGGAATTGCCAGAAACCTCACGATTTTACCATGATACTTACGTCCCTACACGTAATGTATTGCGATTCGATACTGTGATTTTATTGTGATTCAATGTTCCAAACATATTGCTCACCATATGTCTGCTGCAGAGGGACAAGAGAGAGCCATGAGAAAATAAAAGTGCTGAAAACAAATTGGCTCCCTATTTAAAAAGAAGATGGAGAACAAGCTATGAAGGAAAAATAGTGGAGTTTTGGTGCAGGTACAGCAAAGTAGTGCAAAAATAATATTGTGCTATTGTCAAAACAATACGATACAATATATTGTCAAAAATAATATCCCAATATGTAACGGTATCGATTTCCACCACCCCCCCGCCTCATAGAGGTCAACCACATCCCCTTCATTGAGGTCAACCACATCCCCTTCATAGAGGTCAACCACATCCCCTTCATAGAGGTCAACCACATCCCCTTCATAGAGGTCAACCACATCCCCTTCATAGAGGTCAACCACATCCCCTTCATAGAGGTCAACCACATCCCCTTCATAGAGGTCAACCACATCCCCTTCATAGAGGTCAACCACATCCCCTGCATAGAGGTCAACCACATCCCATCCATAGAGGACTGTGATATAGTACTACAGCTCATCACAAGTATGGCAATAGAGAATTTCAACTACTACTAAGTATATGGCAATGCATTGTAAAACTACAACTACCACAATCCCTACATGAAGCGAAACAGGACAACAAGTACAAGGCCTAGAACTAAAACTTCTAGAACTACAAAGCCCCTGACCCCAATGCAGTACCTGTGACACTGGTGCCATGTCCAAGACTCACTGGTAGCCCTAGGTCTAAAGTCAGCCTGTATCATGTTCATAATGCCAAAGAATACAACAAATCCTATAGACCTAAAATAAAACTATAACTCCCACAGCATCCCTTACCTGTGACACTGGTGCCATGTCCAAGACTCCCTGGTAGCCCTGGGTCTAAAGTCAGCCAGTCTCATGTTCATAATACCAAAGACTACAACTACCACAAATCCTATAGACATCATAAAACTACAACTCCCACAACACCTCTTACCTATGACATGCGTGCCATGTCCAAGACTCCCTGGTAGCCCTAGGTCTGAAGTCGGCCCGTCCCATGTTCATAATCCTGGAGGAGAATCGTAGGAGGCGACGGTGTCCGTACGGCCAGTTCATTCTGGCAGCGGAGGATGACAGACAGTTCTCCTCGTTGGCACAGGTCAGCAGATGTAGGGGTCGGTCCTCTAGGTAGGCTGTCTCCTGAACCAGTTGGGCATCTAGTACCAGGTCAGGGGCAGCTAGAGGGCAGGGGAGAGGGGTGAGTGGTTTGGGGTAACTTAGGCATGTATGGGGGTCAGGGGTGAAAGGTAAACCAGGTATTACAGGGAATGATGGGTCAAGGGCCACTACGGTGAGGGGAGGGGTAGGTTAAAGGTTAATCAGAGATGATCAAACACCAAGTTCACGTTCAGAAAGCAAACAGGAGAAAACGTTTTCAAGCGGAAGACTGAAAATAAGTGTTGCTATTGGAGTTCAGGTACTTCAGTTTCAAAGTGTTTTCTCCAATTTCTTGACATTTGAACAGAACCCTGGACAGGATCTCTTAAGACGACACAGGTGTAGACAGCTAGCCAGGTGGACAGGTGTGCTTTGATAATGACTCACTCTCTGAACAGGTGACCCCTGCAGCATTAGTCCCACCACCTCGGGGACAGTATACGTGGTTGTTACGGCGACACTGTTGGATTGACAGCTCAGTTCCGACACAGTGGGTTCCACTCAACACCAACTCTGCTGCGTTAGGATCCCCAGCCCAATACCAAGTCTCCTAGAGAGAGAGAGTCATGAGTGAGTGAGTGTGGAAGTCAGTTACGTTATGACAATTTATAGCAAGTGTTACAATGGATTATTGTAAGGCATTATGTTGTGTTGCAAGGCATTATACATGCTATTACATTATACATGCAATCATAATGCATTATATATATATATATATATATATATATATACACATACACACAGTGGGGAGAACAAGTATTTGATACACTGCCTATTTTGCAGGTTTTCCTACTTACAAAGCATGTAGAGGTCTGTAATTTTTTATCATAGGTACACTTCAACTGTGAGAGACGGAATCTAAAACAAAAATCCAGAAAATCACATTGTATGATTTTTAAGTAATTAATTTGCATTTTATTGCATGACGTAAGTATTTGATACATCAGAAAAGCTGAACTTAATATTTGGTACAGAAACCTTTGTTTGCAATTACAGAGATCATATGTTTCCTGTAGGTCTTGACCAGGTTTGCACATACTGCAGCAGTGATTTTGGCCCACTCCTCCATACAGACCTTCTCCAGATCCTTCAGGTTTCGGGGCTGTCGCTGGGGCAATACGGACTTTCAGCTCCCTCCAAAGATGTTCTATTGGGTTCAGGTCTGGAGACTGGCTAGGCCACTCCAGGACCTTGAGATGCTTCTTACGGAGCCACTCCTTAGTTGCCCTGGCTGTGTGTTTCGGGTCGTTGTCATGCTGGAAGATCCAGCCACGACCCATCTTCAATGCTCTTACTGAGGGAAGGAGGTTCTTGGCCAAGATCTCGCGATAGATGGCCCCATCCATCCTCCCCTCAATACGGTGCAGTCGTCCTGTCCCCTTTGCAGAAAAGCATCCCCAAAGAATGATGTTTCCACCTCCATGCTTCACGGTTGGGATGGTGTTCTTGGGGTTGTACTCATCCTTCTTCTTCCTCCAAACACGGCGAGTGGAGTTTAGACCAAAAAGCTCTATTTTTGTCTCATCAGACCACATGACCTTCTCCCATTCCTCCTCTGGATCATCCAGATGGTCATTGGCTAACTTCAGACGGGCCTGGACATGCGCTGGCTTGAGCAGGGGGACCTTGCGTGCGCTGCAGGATATTAATCCATGACGGCATACTGTGTTACTAATGGTTTTCTTTGAGACTGTGGTCCCAGCTCTCTTCAGGTCATTGACCAGGTCCTGCCGTGTAGTTCTGGGCTGATCCCTCACCTTCCTCATGATCATTGATGCCCCACGAGGTGAGATCTTGCATGGAGCCCCAGACCGAGGGTGATTGACCGTCATCTTGAACTTCTTCCATTTTCTAATAATTGCGCCAACAGTTGTTGCCTTCTCACCAAGCTGCTTGCCTATTGTCCTGTAGCCCATCCCAGCCTTGTGCAGGTCTACAATTTTATCCCTGATGTCCTTAAACAGCTCTCTGGTCTTGGCCATTGTGGAGAGGTTGGAGTCTGTTTGATTGAGTGTGTGGACAGGTGTCTTTTATACAGGTAATGAGTTCAAACAGGTGCAGTTAATACAGGTAATGAGTGGAGAACAGGAGGGCTTCTTAAAGAAAAACTAACTGTGAGAGCCGGAATTCTTACTGGTTGGTAGGTGATCAAATACTTATGTCATGCAATAAAATGCAAATGAATTACTTAAAAATCATACAATGTGATTTTCTGGATTTTTGTTTTAGATTCCGTCTCTCACAGTTGAAGTGTACCTATGATAAAAATTACAGACCTCTACATGCTTTGTAAGTAGGAAAACCTGCAAAATCGTCAGTGTATCAAATACTTGTTCTCCCCACTGTGTGTGTGTGTGTGTGTGTGTGTGTGTGTATATATATATATATATATATATATATATATATATATATAGTGAAAAAAGTATTTGATCACCTGCTGATTTTGTACGTTTGCCCACTGACAAAGAAATGATCAGTCTATAATTTTAATGGTAGGTTTATTTGAACAGTGAGAGACAGAATAACAACAAAATAATCCAGAGAAACGCATGTCAAAAATGTTATAAATTGATTTGCATTTTAATGAGGGATATAAGCTTTTGACCCCTCTGCAAAACATGACCTAGTACTTGGTGGCAAAACCCTTGTTGGCAATCACAGAGGTCAGACCTTACTTGTAGTTGGCTACCAGGTTTGCACACATCTCAGGAGGGATTTTGTCCCACTCCTCTTTGCAGATCTTCTCCAAGTCATTAAGGTTTCGAGGCTGACGTTTGGCAACTCGAACCTTCAGCTCCCTCCACAGATTTGCTATGGGATTAAGGTGTGGAGACTGGCTAGGCCACTCCAGGACCTTAATGTGCTTCTTCTTGAGCCACTCCTTTGTTGCCTTGGCCGTGTGTTTTGCGTCATTGTCATGCTGGAATACCCATCCACGACCCATTTTCAATGCCCTGGCTGAGGGAAGGAGGTTCTCACCCAAGATATGACGGTACATGGCCCCGTCCATTGTCCCTTTGATGCGGTGAAGTTGTCCTGTCCCCTTAGCAGAAAAACACCCCCAAAGCATAATGTTTCCACCTCCATGTTTGACTGTGGGGATGGTGTTCTTGGGGTCATAGGTAGCATTCCTCCTCCTCCAAACACGGCAAGTTGAGTTGATGCCAAAGAACTCCATTTTGGTCTCATCTGACCACAACACTTTCACCCAGTTCTCCTCTGAATCATTCAGATGTTCATTGGCAAACTTCAGACGGGCATGTATATGTGCTTTCTTGAGCAGGGGGACCTTGCGGGCGCTGCAGGATTTCAGTCCTTCACGGCGTAGTGTGTTACCAATTGTTTTCTTGGTGACTATGGTCCCAGCTGCCTTGAGATCATTGACAAGATCCTCCCGTGTAGTTCTGGGCTGATTCCTCACCGTTCTCATGATCATTGCAACTCCACGAGGTGAGATCTTGAATGGAGCCCCAGGCCGAGGGAGATTGACAGTTCTTTTGTGTTTCTTCCATTTGTGAATAATTGCACCAACTGTTGTCACCTTCTCACCAAGCTGCTTGCCGATGGTCTTGTAGCCCATTCCAGCCTTGTGTAGGTCTACAATCTTGTCCCTGACATCCTTGGAGAGCTCTTTGGTCTTGGCCATGGTGGAGAGTTTGGAATCTGATTGATTGATTGCTTCTGTGGACAGGTGTCTTTTATACAGGTAACAAGCTGAGATTAGGAGCACTCCCTTTAAGAGTGTGCTCCTAATCTCAGCTCGTTACCTGTATAAAAGACACCTGGGAGCCAGAAATCTTTCTGATTGAGAGGGGGTCAAATACTTATTTCCCTCATTAAAATGCAATTCAACATTTTTGACATGCGTTTTTCTGGATTTTTTTTGTTTGTTATTCTGTCACTCACTGTTCAAATAAACCTACCATTAAAATTATAGACTGATTATTTCTTTGTCAGTGGGCAAACGTACAAAATCAGCAGGGGATCAAATACTTTTTTCCCTCACTGTGTATGTGTATATATATATATATATATATATATATATATATATATATATATATATATATATATATATATATATATATATATATATATCTCAGAAAGTATTACTGAGTTTTCAGCTATCCAGGAGATTGGTGAATTGTGGGAGTACTCTAGGGGCAAATCTGAAATGGTGCCATATTCCTACAAAGGGCTCTGGCCAGAAGTAGTGCAATATACAGTGAATAGGGTTTCGTAGGTGTGTTTCCATACCTGGTGTGCTCGGGATGCGAACCCCAGACCCAGCTGTCTACAGACCACCATGGCTTCGTTGATCCCCCAGTTCTCACTGCAGACTGACCCCCATCTCTTACGACCCCCTACATCCATCAGTACCTCCACACGCCCCTCACCTGGCTCCCTGCCCCCCGCCAATCGCACCTAGGGTAGGAAGAGGAAGGAGGGTAGGAGGAGGAGGAGGAGGAGGAGGAGGAGGTGCGAGAAAATTATATTTAAATTCAGTATGTTTTGCAAGTCAGATGTTCAGAATTATAAGTATCTAATGACTCTACAATAATTTAATTGGTATTATAAACTGGGTGGTTCGAGCCCTGAATGCTGATTGGCTGACAGACATGGTATATCAGAACGTATACCACGGATATGACAAAACATTTATTTTTACTGCTCTAATTACACCGGTAACCAGTTTACAATAGCAATAAGGCACCAAGGGGGTTTGTGGTATATGGCCAATATACCACGGCTAAGGGCTGTGTCCAGGCACTGGTATATTGGCCATATACCACACCCACTCAGGCCTTATTGTTTAATTATATAATGTAAAGGTGTGTGTGTGAATGTGTGTGTTCTAACCGTGCTGTCTAGGCCAAGCTTGGGGATGTTGCAGCGTACTGAGGCGTCCTGGGTGTGTTTAAACGTCCAGAGAGGGACATCCTGAAAGTAACAGTCTAGGATAGACTTCTCTGTCCCCAAACACTGAACACTGTTCATATGGATAGGACCAGTACCTAGAGAGAGAGAGAGGGGGAGAGAGAAGGTTGGGGGGGTGGGGGGGGGTTGGACATGAGCGCATGTACACACCACACCAATCATACATCTCTCTGTATCTTGTGTGGTACTTAACCTAGACATGAGGGCATCGCAATGCAATCCCCCTAAACGGCCCTTATCTAATAGACAAACCCACCTACACCCACAGTAGTGAAAGCTGAGGTTAAAGAGGGGTAAACAGATAAAGAGCTCAGCCATTTGTTTGTGCGAACCGATTGTGCCTTCCCCATCACAACAGCACCCCAGCAACAAAAGGTTCCTATCTGTACTTAAGCAACAAAAGGTTCCTATCTCTATCATGGCTGTCTCGCTGTCTGTCTGTCTGCCAGAGGAGATAACAAGGCTGTACCTCGAGTACTCCAGAGATCCAACACACATCATTACCACCATTTTGTACTTTCAACAAAACAAAAACACCCCACCCGCCACCCACCCAGTACATTTCAGAAAGACAACGTCACTGCTCAATGCTAACTTAGTCATCCGCTACCACCCCTGGTGAGCAGAGAACACATGCAAGCAAGAACAGAGCCAAAGGTGAATCAGGAGATAAAATATGGTCACACTTGAGTCCATAGATTGGTGCTTCAAATTGTAAAACAACCTGTCAATGTGATGAAGGAAAGAAAGTGTGTGGATAGAGTACTCAAATTCAGACAGTAGGCCAGTACATTAACTTTTATTGATAAGTATGAAGAGTAACATTGAGATAATGAGGAAGTACATCTAGAAGAGGGCTTGGCATTGTTTTTTTAACAATGTGTAGAGAAATGAAAAGAAGGTTTAAGCTGGGAAGATATCGAGTCACCACTAAAATAACACACAGGGGTGATTCTGACAACAAAATCAGAGAGAGAGAGAGAGAGCAAGAGAGAGAGAAGATTGGTGATTGCAGGTCTACAGTGCATTCGGAAACTATTCAGACCCCTTCTCCACATGTTGTTACGTTACAGCCTTATTCTAAAATTGATTAAATTAATTGTTTTCCTCATCAATCTACACACAATAACCCATAATGACAAAGCGAAAACAGATTTTTAGAAATGTTTGAAATGTATTAAAGATAAAAGAAAACAGAAATAACTTATTTATATAAGTATTCAGATCCTTTGCTATGAGACTCGAAATTGAGCTCAGGTGCATCCTGTTTCCATTGATCATCCTTAAGATATTTCTACAACTTGATTGGAGTCCACCTGTTGTAAATTCAATTGATTGGACATAATTTGGAAAGGCACACCCCTGTCTATATAAGGTCCCACAGTTGACAAAAATCAAGCCATGAGGTCAAAGGAATTGTCCGTAGAGTTCCAAGACAGGATTGTGTCGAGGCACAGATCTGGGGACGGGTACCAAAACATTTCTGCAGCATTGAAGGTCCCCAAGAACACAGTGGAACCACCAAGACTCTTCCTAGAGCTGGCTGCCAGGCCAAACTGAACAATCGGGGGAGAAGGGCCTTGGTCAGGGAGGTGACCAAGAACCTGATCAAATCAAATCGTATTTGTCACATGTGCCGAATTCTCTCCACATCTCTGGAGAGACCTGAAAATAGCTGTGCCGCAATCATCCCCATCCAACCTGACAGAGTTTGAGAGGATCTGCAGAGATGAATGGGAGAAACTCCCCAAATACAGGTGTGCCAAGCTTGTAGCGTCATACCCAAGAAGACTCAAGGCTGCAATCGCTGCCGAAGGTGCTTCAACAAAGTACTGAGTAAAGGGTCTTAATACTTATGTAAATGTGATATTTCCGTTTTTATTTTATAAATTGGTTAAACATTTCTAAAAACCTGTTTTTGCTTTGCCATTATGGGGTATTGTGTGTAGATTGATGAGGAGAAAAAAACAATTGAATCAATTTTAGAATAAGGCTGTAATGTAACAAAATGTGGAAAAAGTCAAGGGGTCTGAATATTTTCGGAATGCACTCCATCTCCATCTATGTTGGATATTCTAAATCAGGGATGGGCAACTCCAGTCCTCGGGGGCCTGATTGGTGTCCACACTTTGCCCAACTAATCATGATCTTTGCTTTAGAATATAATTTGTTTAATCAGCTGTTTTCTAGGGATGGGGAAAAAGTGTGACACCACTCCGGCCCCCGGGGACTGGAGTTGCCCATCCCTGTTCTAAATTATAGATTGTAGGCCTCCATCCATATTGGTCACAATGACTGGGTATACATCCACCCACGTTAAATAGACTAAAGAAAACCCACTTCCTGAACCAACTGTCTCTATCTGTGTGTAGAATACCACGTAAAATACCACTGAGTAGTTCAGAACAACCACAGTTTAACTTAATAGGACAAACACAGCTTCTGTGGATTGTGGATCTTCATTAAAAAAGCACATTTTAGCTTATTTGGGCGGGTACGAAATAGATCCTGAGAAACTGGTTACGAACAATCATGCAAGCAAGCATACACTAACACGCTGGCACACACACAAATGTGGCTGTATACCACCTCACAGAGTAAATCACATATAGAAGTAAAAATATGCCAGTGTTGTTCAGAATAGGAAATAGAGGCATTGTCCCAGTAATTTAAACCAATGTTGATGATGATGATGATGATGAGAGTTCAAATGGCAGCTGATGAGTTTAGACATTGTTTTCAGTTTTTTACTTCACTTTACCAATGATTAAAGTGAATTTGAGTGATGTAAACAGTCAGCGAAAGTCTAATTCACTCCCACTAAATTCCCATTCACTGCTGTGTACTTTGTCCAGTTCCTGCTGTATCACGCTTGTGTGTGCGTACATTAAATTATCTCCTTTCATGGTCTCATTTTCAAAGGAGAAATGTTTTTGTGTAATCTTTAGATTAGTCCTCTTTCCCTGTGAGGTACGGTAGATTTGGTCTGTGAACACTATCATATCTCATATCCAATCAGAGCTCTGCGTGATCTCACAGCAGCTGATTTGCATGTGTGGTAATCCCTTTGACAGACGGTGCAGCGGAAAAAAACATGGCCGACGTATGGTAGTAGAACCCCCAGGAGGATGAAAGAGGCCTAGCTCTGATAGTTGTAGTGAAAGAGGCCTGTGGTAGTGGTTGTGGATGACTGGCTATCAGGATGGCTTGTGGAAGACAGTGGCTTGTTCTATAATTGGTGCCTCACATTAACATTCTCACATTAACACACACTGTTAATGGTGTCTCTCTCTCTCTCTCTCACACACACACACACACACCCCAGTCACTCACACAGAGCTATATTTGTGTCACCAAACCGCCCCACCCAAAAGCTACTGGGGTCAGTACAGGCAACGTGACTGAGAAATGTCACAAACTCTATGGCTGAAAGACACATAGGCAGACCTATATGGCACACCCACACAGGCAGACCTATATGGTTTTTACTGCTCAGGCTTGGCGAAGCGAAAGGGCCTATTTGATGATTGAATGGACTTCAAATAGGATTAAACAGCTGAACATTAAGAAGTCCCACGGAAAGAAAAACACCATTAATGTTCCCTAAACCACGCTTAACTTCAGAGAGGAAAATACTAGGGTTCCCTCCTAACCACTAACCAACTATTTGGGCTATTCTCACTAGCTATGTGACCAGAATCATCCCGTTTCCAGCTCCCTAAAGTCTTTAAGATTTGTATCTGTCTGCTTGATTGGCATGTACTGTATGTGCTAACATTCATTATAGCATAGTTTATTTATCAAATTTTTTGTAAATGCTATATTTAAACTAACGTATAGTGACTGTAGATTTTACTTGCATTTACTGCATTTATTGAGACTATTGCGCGACAACAACCCAAGATATTCACCAGAACGTCTCTCTTTCATGCTTACCAAACTACAGTACATAACAACACCAGTTAGTCTCTGTGTCCCAGCCAGCCAGCCAGCCAGCCATCTGGACTTTTAATGTAGGCCTTTTCCGACACCATACATGTATGTGTTTATGTGGCCTGCAGAACTCAGTGAAAATTATATAGGACGGTAAAATGTCTAAAAAGCAACATTATAGAGAATGGTGGCAGATGTCCTCTAGTCCGGCTATGGCTGTAGCTAAGCAGGCGTTACGAAAGTGTGTAATGTGTGTGTGTGCACGTGTGTGCGCAGCTGAAAACTCTGTCCCTGCCAATCAGGATATAGTTAGGGACTTGTATTTAAAACAGGTCGAGAGGATTAAACTATTAAATTAAACCTGTCATTTGATTGACAGGCTAGGAGGCTAGAGCTGCAAGGCCATAATAGTAATGCTACAGGCAGGTCTGGGAACAGACTTAACACAGACATTGTACGCACGCACACCCACACACTGGGTGTTACTGAAGCAGCAGCCCAGGGTTGATCAGGAGGAAATATGAACTTATTTTGGGAGAAAATTAAAAGCTTTTCACTTCGCCTTGACTATTACAACACAGGCACAGACTGCTGGGTGTTACAGTATGTAGCAACCATAAGATCTGGGACAGGGGTACTTGATGTGGCTGTGGCGAGATTAGGTTAGGATGGGTGTGGTTATAATAGACTACAGTATAGGTGCAGAAGGCTGATTGAGACCAGAGATTGTTGAATAGTGAGAGATGAGGATGCTAAGAGCTACAATATTCTCCACTCCTAACAGTGGCGACGCGTCATTCAGGGCAGGTAAGGCAAATAATAATAATTGAGTTAATAAAGCCGCATACAAACATGGTCTCTTTTTTGCTTTCTTGAGTAAGGCAGCTCCAAAATGTAGCTGTTTCAGCCTAGCTCAGTGCTTTCTGTGGTGGTGGGGCAGCCAGCGGAAAATACAGAGCGTAGGGGTTGGTAATTTTCTCTAGTTGCACCATGATTGGCTCAGTGTTCTGTCACTCATGGGGACACTACGTCGCCGCAGAACCTACGGGTAGAGCTCGAAAATTCAAGCCCCTTGGGTGCTGCCATAGACTTACAATAAAAGTGCCCATCCAAGAAGGTGAAATGATAAAATGACGTCAAATCACGTTATATCTACAGTAGCTTTGATTGGACTGATCATGTCAAAATCATACTTTCAAAATCTTAGCTAGCAAGCTAGACAAGCAGTCATCATCATGCATCAAGTCGGCAATCTACTGGCAAATCCTTGTCATATGAAGATAAATTATAGATAAAATGTATCAGTGCTCATCGACCATTGGACATAAACATTACACAACAAGTTGTAAATCGCGATTTCAACAATGAGTGCTAAGGCGCCACTG